ATCAGAACTAAATAGAAATAGATCCTGATAGCCTGGATCCCACATCTTAACCTTTTTTTTTTTTTCCTAAATTAGCAGTGAGCTTAGCGCTTGAATACAGGTATAATTTTTTAAATGATTTTTTAATAATAAAGATGATGATTATTAGGGAAGGATTTGCTCCTAATGGTGTTTTTAACCATGGTGGAGGGAAAGGTCTTGACCCTGCTGCACTGATAGCTAAAGCTGCCACCGGTCAGAAGGAGAGGGCAGCATGCAGTGTTTTTACTGGGTGCTTAGTTTATCTCCGCTTCGATCGGAGAACTTGATTTCTCCCTTTTTACATCAGGAGTCCCAGAAGATGATGGAAGCTGCTGCTGCAAATTCAGTTCAGCTGAAACTGGGGAAGACCAGCAACTTGGATATCCCAAAGCAAAACACTGACAGGTAAAGGCCCACCAAGCGCCAGGACCCCCGGCAAGATTAGTTTGAAGGTGTTTGGCACAATTTTCTCTACTTGCCTCTTTATTGAGCACCCGTTAGAAAGCAGCAGTCAGCTTGGTGGGAGAATCAAAGGTATGGGCCGGGCTGCAGGAGGTGATCGCAGGGCTCTGAGCCCAAGCAGAGTGGCTGCACAGCTCATGTTTGACCCCAAAAACTTGCACCATCCATGACTTTATGGTAGCTGGAGATCCTCATACTTAAAAATGAGGAGTTGCAGGCATGATCTGTACCAGCAGTGGCTTAGGAGCCCGCCCTAGGGCTAAACACCAGCAAGAGCCTTTGCATGGAGCTGTTGCTCTGCAGCTCTCCGGCTTGCCTCCCAAAACTCCTCATCCAGCAAAACCTCCCGTCCTTATGCTGAGCTTTGATCCTCCGAGCCCTCCTGCTCCTCTCGCTGATGCTGATGCACTCGGTGGCATCAGTTCCCCTAATGTCGAATCTTTATTGCAGGGCTGATCCTTCCGAGATTAATATCTCGGATGAAATGTCGAAAACGACTGTATGGAAGGCTCTCACTATGAACACAGAAACGCTCTGAAGCCGGGGAGGAAGGAGGTAAAGGATTGCATGTGAACGCGACCCTGCTCCTCTGCAAGCAACGGCGCGTGCCGACGCTTTTCCCGTGCTTTGGCCGGCAATGCCGAGCAAACGGCCCGGCCCTGGGAACAGGCAGGCCGCGGCCTGCAAACCAGCTCCTCTCTGCCGGGCTGGTCCCACGAGCGGGGCCGAATCAGCGGCAGCCGGCAGGTCTTCCACTGACGATGCTCTCCCTCTTTTTCCTCTTCCCCCCCCCCCCCCCTTTTCCCCCTCCCCCCCCCCCCACGTTTTCATGTTTAGGAATCTTGACTTTGAAGGAGAGGAGCGAGAATGTGACTCAGGGATGTGCCAACGCAGACACGGGGAGAAACTGCTTTTTTTTTTTTTTCAATTGGAGGATTCCCATTAAAGCCATGCAGATGTTTCAGTTATCCTTGGTGTGCTTCAGGCATTCCGTATCTCTAGACCAGCAAACTGAGGTGCACATCACAGTCAATGGGAGTTCGGTGTTGTTAAGCCTCCGTGTGTACGTGCGTGTGTTGTTGCGGTTTTGTAGTGGTAGAGGGACTGCTACCGCTTTATCATTCAGTGCTATTTTTTTAATATCTAATTCCTCCTCTCCTTTCTCTTTTTTCCAAATATAAACTCTGAATGTACAAAATCATTTTCTGTTATATTTGACGCATTCTCCACTTTCTTCTTCAGCACGCCCAGGTTCTTGGTCTGGTTTGGGGTCCTTTTAATTCACTTTTCTGTCTCCTACCGGTACGAGAGGGATGCCCTCCGTGGCGGGGCCGCGTAAAGCATGTCCGAGCGGTTGGGCTAAGGCGAAGGAAAAACATTTCCTCCCTGCGCTCCACTTTTACGTAAATTTTTTTTTTTTTTTTCTTTGGTTTTGCCATCAGCCTGGAAGTTGCAAAATGCAGAAATGCCACCTTCTTGTCCCCTGGCTGTAAACTGAATATAAGGGAGTGCTTAAAATCGAATACCTGGAATACGCTGTACGGTCACGGGAGCGGCCGGGGGGGACCTGGGGCTCTGTGCCCCCGCGCCGCCCCCGCCGTTGCTCCTCCACTTTCCCTCCTTTTGCCTCCCTGGGACTCTCCGCAGTTTTTTCTTCACCCCCATCCTTGCAAAGCCTTTTCTCTCGCAGGGTGGGACGAGCCGGGAGGGAAGTGGGAAGACGTCTTTTCCTCTTCCCTTCCCCTGCCGCTTTGCAGAAAGACGCTGTTAAGCAGAGATGGTTCTTGTGCTCTCTTCACATTTTGGGGGGTCGCTGGGCTGTGGCCTCACCCCAGGCATGGGTGGTCGAGTCTGGTGGCCGTGGAGCCCGGGAGGAGAGGACAACCCAGACGAAAAGGTCCCCTTGCAGCCGTCCACCTTGCTGTGGGCTCAGCATGGGCTCCAGGCTCTTGGCGTCTGCAGCCGGTGCCCCGCGCCCAGCCGGGACGGGCGCAGGAACCCTCCTGCCGTCGGCTCGTCCCCTCCGCCGCGGGAGCCTTTCGTGCACCAAACCAACCCAAAACGACAACGGCAAGTTGTTGCTCCGTGCAGACGGGTAGGGGAAAGAAACTCTCAAACTGCTCTGCGAGGCTGAAAGCGGCACGTCGCCAAGCAGGGCCCAAATTAGATGGCTTTGACGGGACGGGGGTTTGCAAACTGGAGTTTGACTGCTGCCGGCGCGGCACCGTGACTGTCGGAGGGGGAGCAAACCGGTTTAGTTCTTCAAAAAGGAGGGGAGGCAAAAAAAAAAAAAGGTTTGGAGGATGGGAAAGGCGCAAAGCCTGGGTTTTCTTGCTGCTCTGCCTCCGTGGTGCCCATGCCCGTCCTGTCCGCGCTGCCTCCCTCCGAGCACGGGACTGCGCGCGCCGCTCCCGCGTGCCGGCTCTCCCTCCCCGGGGAGGTGGGGGAGAGCCCTGATCTCCACCGTTCGGAAAATAAACTTTCCTTCCCGTGGAGGTATAAGCATTAAAGCCAGTGAACCGTACTGGGGACGGAGCTGGGTGGTTGTGGTACCCGTCCTATTGCTGCCCTGCCCCTAAAAGGGAATTATTGGGCTTCTAATGTTATGGTTTTTCCTTTTTATTTTCCTCTTTTGGCTGGGCTCTGCTCCCTCCGGGCAGGGACCAGGGCCAGGGGCTGGCATCGCCTGGCATCTCTCCAGCTTAGGAAGAAAAGAAAAACCCACCCCCGAGGGAAAGGACGCGGGTTTGACTGCGGAGCGGGGGCCCGCATCTCCCCCGGCCTTGGGGCTACAAAACGCCGGCAGCCACCTTGGCAAACCCTCCGTTAAAAAGCAACCCAGGCTTCCCCGACGGGCCCGAGCGCAGCCGTCTTCGCCAGGAGAAGCTTTGGTTTTGCTATTTACAGGGCTAGAATTTTTGTCTGTCTGTCTTTAAATTTTTTTTTTTTTATTATTATGCAATAAAAGCTGAGGTCTCGCTTAATAACGTGGGCTGGCCGTGAGACCCGGCGCCCCGGCTGCCCGCCCCCTTTACGGACCAGAAACCCACGCGTGGCTCCTTATTTTGGGAGGATTTCATATTTCCTTGTGCAGAGGGAAATTATACGGCGGGGGGGGGACCTCTCAAAGGTGTTCCTGGAGTTGCTTTAGCACTAAAAAAAAATAAATATAAAATCTCTTTGAAGCGACCCGGGAAGCTTTGGGTGGCAGCAGCCCCCTTCCCTTCGCGGCGGGATGGGTGCTGGGTGTTTTCCTCATCTGCGGTGCCTTAAAACAGCGCCCGAAATCTCCCGTGGGCCCCTCGGAACCGGTGCCTAAAATGAAGTGCGTGGGAATCCCTAAGGGGGGGAAAAAGATGTGAAAAGGTAATAAATAAGGTGCTGGCACTTTTTTTTTTAATTATTATTTTCTTTCCCCCCCCCCCGGTGTGCTCCATGTAGAAATCTAGAAATTATCTTTGTTTCGGAGATGCTGAAATATATTTATTTTATTGTAAGAGATGATCTAGTTTGGAAACGCTCCGTGTTGTAAATAAA